ATCTCAGAATATTTTTCACAGACATCACTTTTGGTTTGCTTTTTGGATTTGCGGTGGAGGACTCGACGAAGCTCGTTGAATTTTCACGGTTGGCTGCCATCTTTCCATTGAATTTGATTCGATTAAGCGAGATTTTATACCCACAGCGACGAGGTGAAACAATTTTTAAAGAACATTTCCTGAAGAAGGGAGAAAACGCTGGTGAAGTATGAAGGGAAGATAATCATTGGGAATGAAGTGAGAAACAAACAAACGGTAGCTAATCCTACTCGACGTTAAGCCGAAGGAACAACCAATTATCGCGTTCCAGGGCGACGAGAAGTCAGAGATTATCTTGGTCGATAAGTCTGCCGCCCTTCGACAAAGACCCGAACAAGCCGGTGAACTCGCTCACAATCGGAGTCGGCCAGGGTTCAACGCGATTACACGTTCTACACGTGTTCCGGGTTAATGGTATGGGAATATCCGAGGGGTGAAAACCCGGGGATCAACGGCAGATGCTCCTTCATAGGCCCTCGCCCCTCGCTCAATGATCTATCAAATGAATCTTATGGGAGTTAACGGGGCCTGAGATATTATTATTGCCGGATTCACGATTTTATGTACCGTCCAATGTTTGTGATATCATCTGTATCATTTTATGTATCTGTTTTACATGAAACGCATTTAATGATATAAATGGTTGGGGGAAGTACAATTGAATTCCTTTATATGATATTGGATTATAATAAAGTGGCATCATGTGTATAATGATATATTCAATTTGGAAGTATTAGTACAATTCCTTAATACTTAGATTGAAAGTATTACTAAAGTAAATTGTACTAAAACCATACTATAATACAATTTAGTATTCTTTTCATTTCTTTTATGTATTACACTTTCCAGAAAATTAAATAGCCTCTAACATTCAAATTGGAAGTATTAGTACAATTCCTTAATACTCATAGATTGAAAGTATTACTAAAGTAAATTGTACTAAAACCATATTATAATACAATTTAGTGTTCTTTTCATTTCTATTATGTGTTACATTTTTTAGAAGATTAACACTAGAAAGACTGAAACTTAGTATATACCTATAT